CTGAAGGTCAAATCTTTAATTATTATGATTGCTGTAGAAGATAGTTAGATGACATTTTTTTTCCCCAGTTTGAAGATAGAAAAACATATTGTTTGTGATTTCATCGGAATATTGTCTAAAGCCCACATTTTATGCAGCTTCTGTGGAAATTGTACTCTTATCTGGAAAAAAAATAAATAATGAGACACAAGGAAAAACTCAAATTGCAAATCAAATGAGGCCTGCACAATCATTTTCACGCAGGGAGTCCCTGGCTCTTGGGGTTTATAGTCTCCATAAATTTTCAATCCATTTGTGTCTTTCTGGAAAGGTTCTATTTCACTGTAAGGCATATTTTTCAGCATTTATTGGCCACAAGCCAACATCAATTCAATGCTGCTCAGAATCACATTCTTCGGTGCTTAGTGATAGCAGAGCGCTTGATACTCTCTCTCTTCCAAAACGCAGGCTAACAAAGACACAGAACACGAAAAAGCCAAAGCATTTAAAACATCAAATTGCAGATTTTCTTCCATTACCAAATAACAAAGCCTAACAGGGAATATGTTATTAAATACAGTTCAATCTGTATTTTATATTTCTCTGTGTATTTTGTCTTTGCTTTATTTTGCATTTTATTGATGTACAGTAGGGTACTACCTTATTCTGCTGCCTACTGTAAATATGTCAATTTTAGTTCTCTCATTGAAAAAATAATGACATTCCAAGTAATGTATTCACAGTTTGTGAGTGGCAAGGTCCATTTTCAGTAACTTGCATATTTTCTCATGACATGCTTGGGAAACCCTGACAAATTATGAAACTACATTAAAATACCATATATATATACACTGAGCATAAAAAGATGCATGCATGTTTTTATAAAGTTAAAGAATACAGATTCTGAAAATCTGAAAAAAATATGTGGATATTGATTAAATGTTTTTAAATGCAAGTTTTGATTATTCAAGACTGACTATGAAACACTCAAGTGTTTGCTCTCATGTTGCATAACCATTAATCACCACATTAGTCAGTATTGACTGGGCCCAGGTGATGAGGTGATTGTTTCTGCGGAATGTCAAGTCTGGTGAAAATCCAGTAAGAAAAACAAAGGAAGGAACCAACATATTTATCAAGAGAACGTCACAGTGATATCGGTATGGCGGAGGCCAGACTAACTCAGCTCAGGCAGGAGCCACATCCTCTGCATTGATGAACCAAGGTTTTGACCACCCTGATAGATGTCCGCGAGTTTGGCACAGTTGTGCAGAATGCTAACTGTGTTGTACAACAGACCAAACAGGATCTGGCACAAGATCATCATGTCTAGATGCAACAGAGCTCCACTTGCAGTAATTGATGACAACGTGGCTGAACAGAACAATAATGATCGAGTGCTGGCACCTCAACTGATTCCCATCCTGAAGATTCTTTCTGACTGGACCACACTCCAGCAGAACAAGTGTGAAGGATGCACCTCTACCCCTGCCAGGGTATGATCACGGACACTTGTGAGTTTAGAACATATACAGCACCAGTCCTGAGACAGCAGCAAACTCTGCTACATCATAAGACCAGGTATTGTGCTGTGGGAGAATTCTACAGCGCTGGCGTTTTTAAGAAGGTGACATCACATTGTGTAAGAGGCTCCTGAACACTGAGCCCTGTAACAAATGTGCACCTTCACGGTGCTCATATGACAACTGCGTACTTGCAAGATGAAAATATGTCAAGGTTGGATGCCCCACTTGACTGACTTGAGCCTAATTTAACATTTGTGAGATGAACTGTGCCAATCTATGGGACTCGGCAACCATGAACATGCACATGCTTTTTCATTGCTCGTCTTCTTAAAAAAAAAAGTTTGGGAATATGCCACAGCTATGAGTGATAAGAGTCTTTTGATGCTCAGTGTATAAACTCACAAGCCCAAAAAGATGTTACTTTGCATTTTGTTTAGCCAGAACTTTTCTATGAAATACATGACCTGTTTTTAAATGAGCATCTTTTTTCAGACAAGCCAGTGTATTTCCAGAGATTGGAGAGTGCTAAGACTCTTTTTGCTGCAAACATTTACTGTCTCATGCATACGAATGACCCTTGAAATTTGAGGCATGCTTTGAGTACTTCATCAAAAACAAGCTCTGAATTAAATTCAAAGGTACAAATATACTCACATATGTTACAAAACAATGCTTTACAAAGGAAGTAAGATCTACCATTAAAATAACTTATACGCAGGTCAAGAGTGCAGGCCATATCAGGAGTTTTTGGCATAACACCACAGTGAATGGGACCAAGAAATCTGCTGAGCAAAGCTTTGGAGATGTTGCTCAATTTTCCTTTATTCTTTGTTTGGTATTTAAAAAAAAAGGAACAAGTAATAGGTTTCTTCCATGCTGAAAAGAGAAGAGAGAAAACAGAACGTTTCAGCTGTGAAGCCTTCTTCAGGTGTGTGAAGCCTTCTTCACAGCCGAAACGTGTTTTCTTTCTTCTCTTTTCAGCATGGAATAAACCTATCACTTGTTCCTTTGCTGACTACACATGCTGACACAGCTACCCACCCGAACTATTAAAAAAAAAAGTATTTTATCATCAAAATTAGAGACAAAAACACAGTTAAGAGTGTTATGGCACAAGACTAAAATTAGCATGTCTCTGAGAAGAAGTCTCCTTATAAAGGTTCAGAGACTACCTCCTGTATGTTACCTTAATTCAAGATCTTGTCTAAACCGTGAAAAGCACATCATTAAAAAAAATAATTTCACTTTGAGAATTCTACCAAACTAATTTGACAGGATGTCGTCTACATGCATTTCTGGGACACGATGGGAATGAGTTATAAGCAAGTAAGTTAAAGATTTTGTAAGGTAATTTAGCCCTTGAGTAGACTACACAAGAAACAAAACAATATGCAGTATTTAGCAAAGTAAAAAAAATGCATGGCTTGTTTCAAAGCTATTCATGCTGTAAAGGTAAGAAAAGATGACGAGATCTGAAACTTGCCTTAGAATTTGGAAATGATGGAAAAATGTTTCTGGTTCTGAAGTTATGTGCAAGGATCCCCCTGCAGAGCACTTAAAATTGGCCAAGCATTCAAAGAATTATACAAATGTAAACTGTTCCTGATTTAAGTAGGGATATGAAATATCTCAAACACAATGGGCACATTGTGCTTTTAGAACACTTCTCCTCTTCTGTTTTATTATTAGGAAAATAACATTTATAAAATAAAAATAAGACTAATTCTGATTTTCTTCTTGAGATTTCTAGGCATCATATGCAGATGCTGTACATTATGAATATTGAATTACTATATAGCCAACACGACAAGACTTGCCTATGGAGATCCACTTGTTAATTTTTATTCTAGCTTGGCTCCCAGTTACACAGTAAAACCATGAATTAACCTTATCATAGGATAACTTTGAATGCCTTAATTGATTTAAGCTCTTTAAACATTTTGGAGGATTCATTTTTAAATACTGTATTTCAAATGGACCTCAAAATCTCCAACTTTCAAAAAAAACAACAACCTTGTTAGTACAATTGAGGATTCAAGTCATTAAAGAGCTCAGCTGGAACAAAAACCAGCAGATTTCGGGCACCTCTGCTATAGGGGACTCTCTTGTCTGCCTAACACATAGCATTAGCACATAGTATTACTTCACAAGCAAGTAGCAGAAACAGAAACTATAAACACAAGACAGGAGACACTGAGCTTGAAGAATCTACCCAGGAGAAAGACTTAGGTGTTTATGTTGACACATCAATTATACATCTAGACAATGTGGGGAAGCAATAAAAGGCTAATTTAATTTTAGGATATATAGTCAAAATTGTAGAACTTAAATCAAAGTTATAAAATGGTGTGTTTAAAAAGTCACTAATAGATCCTCCTTTACAAGAATGTTGAACAAACTTAATAATGACAAAAAATAAAGTTGCCCTGGAATCAGTCCAGAGAATAGCAATCAGTTACCTTGCAGGGCTTAAAGGAATGTCCTACTCTGACAGGCTAAAAGAACTGAATCTTTTAAGTCTTCAGCAGAGAAGATTTTGAAGGGATCTGGTCAAGTATGCAAAATACTCACAGGCACTGACAAAGCCAACACGACACACATCTTCAGAATCAACAGTGATGCACAAATCACAGGACGAACAGTAAGTGGAAGTTATAGGGAAAGGAAGGGCGTTTAAAACGAGAATAAGGGGCACTTCTTTATCCACAGGGCTGTTGGGTTGTGGAACAAACTATCAACCATGTTGTCAGCACTGATACCTGGCTTCTTTTAAGAAATGTCTACACATTTAATTCACTTGTCTTTGGTAACCAAATGAGCTAGATGTGACAAATGGCCTCTTCGTGCTGTTCTTTTCTGCAGGACATTTACCATAATATTCACAGCGTTGTGAGCACTTAACTGTTATCATATAAAAAATAATCCAGATATTTTAAAAATACAAATTTAAAACTGAAAAGGTTAGATGAAACCGCATATTGTCGTATATTTTATCACGGTTTGTGCTTAAGTAGTGTTTAGGATATTACACTGAATAACTCCCTTCTAAAAGTGGAATAAAATAATTTGCAAAAAAGTGATAGCAGATAAAACCAGTATAACGTGTATTTTCTATCTGACGAAAGGCAGATGAAATGCGTTAGATTTATTTATTGTCTAAGAAGACTACATTATTAAATGTTCACAACGTAAGTTATATAGCTAATTATTGTAGAATTACTTACATTAAGGAAACAAAATCTTCGACCCAAAAAGAACATAATCAAAACACTGTTTAGCCGGCGAAACTGACAGGATAAACAATAACACTACTCACACGTCTGAATATGCTGGACATGTTTCCTGACTGACTCAAGATTCCCTGATTAAGGTTAAAAAAGGGAGCCCTGGAAGTCGTACAAGTGTGAGGTCACATTCAAGCGCCAGGAGAAAGCAGGAGAGAGAGAAAAAGGGAGGGTAGAAGCGGTTGCTATCGAGCTGTGTAGCTGACATCATCTCTTTGCGCCTTCAACATCTCTGGAGTGTGTCGGTGTAAAAAGAAGCGCTGAGGAGGAGAGTAGCGAGCTCTGTGTCTTATTTCCTTCCGACTCCCCGTCACTTCTCAGCGGACTCGGACAGTCACAGCGGTCCGGGAGTAGAGAGCAACAGTAGGTCTCGCCTATCGCGGGGAGCAAGGCAGGCGGAGGACTCACAGAAAGCTTTCTTCGAAGAGAGAAAGAGTTGAAAAGCAAGGAGAGTGTGTATTACAACTAAGGGAGGGTAACCCGCTGGAAAAAAGGAGCGGAGAGAGACCAGCAGCCTCACCGGCCATCATCGGTGTTTCACCCAAAGCAGGGGGAGCCTCCTCGGGGCTCGGATATTAAAGAAATCGAAGAGGCCCCACTTGGTCGACCGTGTCCGTCTGTGGAGGTAAATAAACCTGCTCTTCTAAAATGAAAGTGGTGATCTGAGGCAAATACCTTAGCGCAAGTCAGCGCTAGCAGGAAAGGGCCAGGGCTCTCTGGAAAAGGACAGTTGGGAGCTTCTTGTTCTAATCCACCGAGTTCCATACGAGCAAGGACGGAGGGAAACCGCTTATTTAAACGGGTCCGAGTCCTGAAAAGGTCAAGATAGGGCAAGCAGAGCTCTAGAAGTGTGCATTTATAGGGGGTGCATGCTATTTCTCTGTGCTAACCGGTGGGGAACCTACCGAAAAAAAAGTGAATAGTGTGCATGTCGCCCCGTACAAAAGTCCTCATTTAGTATTCAATTCACGTTGGAAGTGCTTTTGGTATACGTTTTCCTCGGTGTGGTCATGACAGAACTTCTCATTTTGGTGGTTTCTACATCACTCTACGATTAAAAATAACTGGTGTATGTAATCTCTCTTTGGAAAGTGATCTTTTTGGCATTTCACCGCCAGCAACTAATTACCTTTACAAGTTCTGCAGCGTCTGGATGTGGGTTTGCGTTGGGCTTTGGAACAGAATAAAACCAGGAAGGTTTGAGTCTTCCCCCCTTGTCACGGAGTTGTTTTGCAGTATTGCTAATTGACCCGGCGCGGATTGCTGTTGGCACTGCCGGGCTGAGAGCGGAGTCGTTAGTGATGCGGAGCGGCAGCTCCAGCACAGACAGGAGCACATGCGGTAGGAAGTTACTCTCCTGCACAATGGGAGCAGTTGCGAGTCCCACGACACGCTCTTTAGTTTTACACGCTAACAAAAAGTTCACGCTGATTTCGGTGCTCCGTTTGCAGTTCAAGTCCGAATAATGAATGCATTCTGTCAAGAAAGCATCGATTATTTTTTCTAGCTGGAAAATCCTTAATGATATTTTTTTCATTAGTCTAATTTAGCTTTACCATTAGATACTACAAGTCACTTCTGTAGCCTTCTTAAAGCGTCACAGAGAGTTTAGAACCATGACCTGAGAATAATGAATAAATTATATAGCCCTGTCTCACGTTACCTACGGTATAGACAGTCGCTATTTGGGGGGTGTATATCCACCTTCCAGAAAACAATTCTGCATAGGAATCCCGTTTGTTCTCCAAGAACGTTCAAGTCTGCAAAATATTTTAACATCTTGAAAGCACTTCAAAATGACCATCGTCAAGCAGACTTTTATTTCCCCTAACTGCACAGATAATTTAAGCCATGGGTAAACGATTGTAACAGTTTAGCTGCAGTGGGTGCATGCTGTACATCTTACAAAAGCGTTAATATCTCCATTTTCTTTACCCCAGAAATGGTTTTGATTTAGGATTTATTTTATTCACACGAAGTATGCAATTGTAATCAGTTCTCAGCAAACAAAGATTATTTTTCCATAAACAGTGCATTTGTGATCCCTCAGCTTGCACAATAATTTGGGAATCAAAGCTTTCTGGTTGGTCTGTTTTGTATTAGGTGTCCCCTCTGGAAAGTAATCTAGGAGTGAGCTGCACTACCGGACCGTTCATTTACGAGATATTTAAATAACATGTATACAGCTTGAACATGTTAAACGCATTTTTCAGCATTTCAGACACCGAAAATGCACTTGCGAAATCTAAAGGCGAGTTACATGGTAACGGCTTTATTTTGAAACGGAACGAATCGCTCCTCGGCAGTGTGAACTTTTGGACCAGCTCTCTCCCGCTTTATACCTCGCTTGCGTTGGCACGTAAGTGTGTTTTGTGCATGCTGCTGTGCGCCTTCAGTCGCCGTCACGATTGTGTGGATGTGTTTTTGCTTCTGGGGTGAATTTTCTCAGCACACCAGGACTGAAAAGTCTGGCTTTTGGAGCAGAGTGTCTCATGGTGAAGTCTTCTTTCGCCTTGAGAGGGTGAAAGATAAACTTTCAAGAGCAGCGCCACAGCGGTGTGCCCTTAAGCAAAATGCATACAAATATCCGGGGATGAGAGTCTTCGACTTCAGGAGTGGGATGTTTTTGTCGCGCTGAGTGTGTGCAGTTCTCATGACCTGCTGTGTCTCTGTCTGGCTTCTGCACCTTTTGTAAGCACTGACTTCGCTTAATTTGTTGAAATGTTTCATAACTAAGATGTTTTAGCAGGCTTGTGAGAAGAGAGGGAAAAAAAGAAGAAATGCTTAGGTTTTTAGGTACTTGTCTGTATTTAACCCAGTTAGTCATGCAATAATGAAGGATTTGTCAAGAATGCTTACATTAAATGATAAAGATAGGCTCGCAAATCCGTATATATATTTGTAAGTCAAGTGTTTGTTAATGCTTTGCTGCAAAAAATCAATTCATGATTGACACAGAATTAACTGTTCTTCTTTACTTGCTTTGACCAGCAATGTTGCTCCTATTTTTCTGGATTTCTTTTGAATTGAGTCTTTCACGCTGAAGGAGTAGTTGCAAGTGTTTAGTTAGACATGTATCCCATAGTTACACTGATGGTAATATACATCACTTCCAAATGTGTATACAAAAATGATCCAGCTAGGGATGTTTATAGATGATTGATAAAAAGTTAAAAAAAGGTACTGACATCAAGCTGTTTGTGTCCTTCCTAGCTTTCTTTGTAACAACTCACACACCACTTCTTTTTCTCTAGAAAAGGCAGGTTCTGCTATAAAAAGATTGGAATATGGTTTGGTGTGTATATATACATCTTCTGCAAATGATGTCATGAAAACTTGCATAACTGTTTTATGCACTTGTCTCACTTTTTTGAACAGAGAAACAGGCCTTTACCATGCTTATGGTTCTGACAGTCGCCTGACTATCATTATCTGCTTGGAAATGAGATTTATGTGGGGCTTTATACCCCTGGGTTCTGCAAGAGCCAGTAAAAAAACAAATCTATCAGTAGAAATACATTCTCTTTACACATATGAGGTGTGTCATATCCAGCAGTTGATCATTGCTGTTCTGCGGTGTAGTGGTGTTGGCCCCACAGTCTTAGAGTAATTCTTGAATTGCCAGTTTCACAACAGACATGCTTATTTATACTCATTTGGAAAAGCTGATGTTCTAATAACGGGCTGCACAGTGGCGCAGTAGATAGCATTTCTGTCCTGCCGAGCTGAGGCCCTGGAGTTGAGTTCCTGGGGTGCTGTCTGTGTGGAGTCTGTATGTTCTCCCCATGTTTGCATGGGTTTTCTCCCACAGTCCAAATGCATACTGAAAGGCTAATTGGCTTCTGGGAAAACTGGCCCAGGTATTAGGGCCCACACAGACACACTGTGGTGCTGTCCAGGTTATATCCACCTTGTGCTTGTTACTTGCCTTCAGCCCCACCACCCCCCTGACCCTGAACTGGACAAAGCAGTTAAAAGATGGATGCGTGATGTTCTAATATGCTGCTGCCTTCTCATACACAATTCTGTGCTCTCATAGGCTGTATCATAAATTCCTGTTAGAAAGGTAGGAGCATTCAGTAGTTTGTAATCATATTCCATTATGCACTGCTGTTGCAGACAGTGACAGTGTAATAAAAGGCAAGACACTAAGTGACCTTTCAGTAATTATAGTTCAAAATACTATTGCCTCCACAGCCTTCGTAAAGTCAGCAGAAGGCCTCTTTCTTCTTTTTTTATTTGTTGTGACGCATGCCAAGTCTTCTTTTTGAGCGTATAAGTTAAATGTTTAACAATAATTACTTCCTACACTTTTTTTGCATCTCATAACCGTCATTGGAAAGGTGACATTTCACTTAACTTTGTGTGCTGGTAGGAAAGTTAAGATTTGAATTTCGGTACTATCCACAGGTTTTTGCATTATTATTCATTTTTAATGGAAAGCCATACAGCTCATTTCCAGCTTTTGAAAACTCTTGGACTGGATGGTTCTGATTAAAAATGAAAGGGCATTCTACTACATACTGTAGGTATATGAAATGTTTTTAAAATACGTTTTATGTTGCAATTTATAGAATTAGTTGATCCTTTTAAAGTGCTTAGTAAATTAAACAACACATATAAACATCTTGCATTATATTTTAAGAGTGAACACAGTTTCAGAAAAGATTGGGTAAAAGTGTGCAGATTTACCCATTTCCGAATTGTTGAAGGGCAAAGTATGCTTTTTTCCAAACTTGTATTTGTAAACTTGTAAACATGAACCAGAAAGCACAAGCAGAAGCTATGGGGAATTGAAGATAAAACCGAGAACTGGAGGCACTTACACAGAGATTTGTGGGAGTGTGAACAAGCTATCCAGTTATATTTTTAAAGCTGATACTCTCACTTGTTTTGAGAAATGTCTGCATGAGGTCCTGGGATCAATTACTTATTAGCTAACTAATGGGCCAGGTGTCCTCCTCTTGTTTGTAATTGCTCTTCTAGGAAAGAGAAGGAAAGATATGCGTATCAGTTATCATCTGAATGGGAAGGTCAGTTAATTTCTGGACATTTGTGGATCAAAACCTGGATGGGGCCTCTAATCCTGTTTTGTTATGCGTCAAGACTATCCTATATATGTGCTGCTTGCTAATTTTTGTTTATGTTTTTTGCCATGTCCTATTGCAAGTTTATTACTTCATTGGATCTTTTAGTTGAAAGTATTTTTCTGTCATAAATATTTTCAGTGAGATTTCTGAACATTTAAAAGATGAGTTGATGACAATAAGGGAATACTGTTGAACATGTTGCACCAGTGGATCTTAATCAACAGTTTCCTTGCAAGTTGCCAAGTGGTCTGCTGAGGGAAGTCTTTTCAGTAACTTTTCCAGCAAAAATAATGTCAAAAACTGCTATTATGGTAAGACAAACTCTGAGTAAAAGCAAACACAAGTATACACAACAAAGTAACTATATACCTCAAAATATTACATGATTTCCTTTAGAATAAACGCCCGTGTATAATGCCTCGTAAACTCCTTCCAAAATAATAATTATAGAAATTAAGGGAGATAAACATGGGATTTGCCTACTAAATTATTTTATTAGGACCTACATGATGAATATGAAAGGATATTTCACAGC